GTGCACCAAATTCAATCTGTTTAATTTCACATTTCACTGACTGGCTGTTGGATAAATAACCTAAAACACTTATTTATGTTTCATAGTTTTAAATTTATCATTGATAAGTTATGTATATGTGGACTTATACTAGTATTAGCATCATGTTACTCCTTTGAGCTCAATATAATATGTACAGTTTTTTTTAAAGTATCCATGTATACAGTATAATAAACAACTCATCTGTTACAAAAAAAAAAAATCAACTCATCCGTGAAAAGAGAAACAACAGAAAGTGATGTTTGTTCTGTGTTTCCTACTGATTAGGAATTTAGGAAGCAAATGAAATTATTTCTTCCACTACATACTTTAAACAAATCTATTAATTAAGATCCCCTCACAAAAGGCTAATAACTGTCTTAACTATTAAAACTAAGCACTTCGGGTCTTAATATAACAAATATGATAATGGTCCCAGTTATCCATTTATTATCAAGGCACATTGAATCGGACCATCGAGACAAATACACGTCGTACCATATATAATACACAATTACACATGCATATATTAATATCAATAGAACTATCAAAGCAAAGTTATACTTTTACAGGTTGGTGTGTTTGGCAAAGGGGTTCACTTCTAACAGCTTTTCTTTTTAATTATAAATTCTGACTATTTAATACGATTAGTGTAGACTGTGTAGTAGGGTTAGATTTGTAGATGATGAAAAAATGTGGAGGTTCAGAAATTGATGTGTGCTTTTTAATCCTGAACTTGCGTGCCTAATCCTCACTTTTGCCAGCATGTTTATGGATTGTTTTTTAAAGTGGGCCCATTCAATTTTCGGCCCAAGTATTTTTAAAATCCTTAATTGATTAAGCTAAACCATTGATATTTTTTATTTACGATTTACCACGGATCGGAACATGCGCGCCTTTTTTGGATCAGAGACCAAGCTCCGTACGGTTTGAATAATAGGAAAACGGCGTTCAGGACATCATCATTATTTGTTTTTTCCCTTGCCCGTTTCAAAATGAATATCCGAAATTAACAAGAAAATTCTGTTTTATAACATATTCACCCCATACAAGTTCAGGATATATAGTAACAAAATATACTTCTCATTTGAAAAATCACTAATTATTTTTTCTTTTTGTGATCAAAATGGCCCAATTGGATAATATATTACTGCTCTTATTATACTTACAAAACTTAACTAGATTCTGAACCCGCACATCCGTGCGGGTATTTTTTCATTTTATAAAAATAGAACAAACCTTTCAAATATATATGATTTACATTCTATTGTTATATATTGTATAATTGTATAATCTTATAATTTTAATTATTTTTATATAATATATTGTTGTAAGTTTAAAATAAAAAAATATTCATATATAATTTTTTATATAATATATTTGTTGTGAGTTACAAAAATATATGTTAACATTTTTTGTTTAAAATATTATATGATTTAAAAACTTTAATATGTTTTAAAAATGAGTGATAATTATTTATTTATTTGAATAAAAGAAATTTTTAAAATAAAATATTTTCCTTTACCAATTTATATATTTTATATTCATTTCACAAAGAATTTTATTTTAATATAATATAGAATATAACTAAATTATAAAATATAACAATTTTTATTTTTAATTAACATTAATATACATATTTATATATATATATTAATCACGAAATTAAATAATGCATATTTTATAAAAATATTTAAACTTCTTAGTAAGATCTTGTTAGATATTTTCTCAACAAATTTATTACTAATATCTTATTAATTATTAAAATATTCCTTCAATTATATATATTTGATTGATTGATATAAATAATTAAATATGTCATATTAATGAGATGGTCCAGCATGACTTTTTTGTAGTATACATAAATGGTGCTTCTCTTTTAATAAATAAGATGGGTAGCTATATAAAAGTGTAAATGCATTAGACAGTATTTTACAGTCAGACATTTCCAAACATATTACACCAGTTGTGTAAGATGTAACTGATCACTTAATTAAGTCAGATGCACCAATCACAATATTTATGTAACATCAATTTTATCTGTGTGAAGTTCACATGTACGAAATTCACAAAATATATATAGGCATGGGCACGAAGTGGATATCCAAACAATTTGTAATATTCGTGATCCATTCCATACCAAACGAATACTTATGTTTGTAATCCACTTCGATCTAGACAGTTCCGGATATCCTGTATTCGTTTAGGTATTCACAGATTATTTGATTTGATCCGTTAATATATTAAAAATTAAATAAAAATAACATATAAATTTAAAATTAAATAAAAAACTTCATGATATCATAATAAAAATAATAATATAATACTAAAAACTAACATTTTAAAGGAAATTGTAAATAAAAACAAAAAAATCAATATTAACGAGCCTATAAAAACTCAGTTGTTAACATTTGACTCTATATAAAAATTAAATTTTATATGCAATAACCCAATTTTTTTTTTGAAAATCAGTTTAATATAAAAACTAACCAAACTTATATTATAAATATGTATAGATATAATGGTACAACCAGTTATATTACATATCTATCAATATATGGATCGAATCGGATATTCGACTTTACAAAATTAATATTTGTTTTCTATGAATATCACATTTTTGTTATATGCTTTGATTCAAAGCTTTATGGATATCCAAATCGTATCGAAACGAATAATTGATCGGATGTCTAGCCTTAGCTATATACAGTAGAACCTCTATAAATGAATATTCGATAAATTAATAATTTCTGTAAATTAATAAATTTCGGCGGTCCCAACTTAGGCCGGTTCAAATTTGACACAAATCGATAAAATAATAAGATAATAATTTTTCAAAATTTTTTATGTAAATATATGGTCTCGTTAAAACTATAAATTAATAAATTATATGTATATCTATTTTATATAAGTAAGAACCTATATTATATTGTTTATTTTATATTCATAATAGAATTATCTTTATATTTTCTTAACAGTTAATATATTTTGATGACATTTAGTAGTTTTATATCTAAAATTACATTTACATTCTTTTCAATTTGTATTATATACACCAAATAATATAATAAAATTACTATAAATGTCAATTTTCAAAAAATAATAGTTAATGATTATACACTAAAACCAAATATTTTCTTATCTTAGAATAAATATATCTTAATAGAAAAAATCTAAATGAGGATAATTTTGTAATTAAATATCTCTATAAATTAATAAAATTTTAAAGTCCCAACATTATTAATTTATATAGATTTTATTGTATAGTGACTGGTCTCCATAGTAAGCTTAAATCAATGATGTCAAGATTAAAGATTTAATGTTCAAAAAAACATTGATTTTTTTGTTTGACTGAAAAATGTAATTTTTGATTTTTTTGTTTGACATTGATTTTTTTGTTTGACTGAAAAATGTAATTTTTGAATATATTTGTTCATATTGAGGACGGTTTTTCTAGGGTGAGTTTGGATCTATAATTAAAATACGTGTAAAATACCAGTAATTTTTGGATATGTATCATGTGGAAGAGAATGTGGTTTTGTTCAGGTCTTTAGGTCGGGTTTGGGCTGGTTCTTAGATCCGGATATCTTAGATCCGAAAAGAACCAGTCCAAACCCGACCCAAAGACCCAAACAATACATTCTCTATTACATGATACATATCCAAAAATTACTGGTATTTTACACGTATTTTAATTATAGATCCAAACTCACCCTAGAAAAACCGTCCTCAATATGAACAAATATATTCAAAAATTACATTTTTCAGTCAAATAAAAAAATCAATGTATTTTCCACCTTAGTATATTTTTGAAAATTCCTTAAAAATACACATACTAAATTTTCTTTGCTGAAAAAATACACGAACTTTTTTGGTTTCCCGAAAAATACACAGACTAATTTTGGTTGTCCATAAAATACATGAACTTTTGAATCAGAGTTAACGTCGTCTAACGGCGTCTAACGGCGTCTAAATGTTCTGTTAATCAGAGTTAACGCCGTTAAAATCGAGGTGTGAAACCTTCAAAATTCAAAAGTTCATGTATTTTGTAAACAACCAAAATTACTCTGTGTATTTTTCGGGAAGTCTAAAAAGTTGATGTATTTTTTTAGCAAAAGAAACTCAGTTGGTGTATTTTTAAGGAATTTTCCCAAAAAAAAAATACATAAGTATATAACCATGCAGTGTGCACAACAAAAAAGTTATAACCATGCAGTAGAACTAAAACAGTAGTTCTTCAACAATTCTCCATCAACGAAAACCCATAGAAAATTTCTAATAGGACATAAATTATTCGGCAGTTGAAGTTAGTTTATAGGAAACAAATATATATAGGGATAATTATCCATCTAAGTGGAAACTTTAAGAAAACTAAGAGAAGATCTTGAACTAAGTAAGGTTAATCGATCGAAAAAGGAAAGTAGAAATAGAATCACAAAACTAGATATTGACAGCACACCACCATAAGTAATGGAAGTTAACATATCATTTGATTTGATTTGATTCAATTCATCCAGCAGTATTTAGTGCTGTTTATTTCAATTGAGTATTAAATGATAGAGAAATAGGTAGTTAATTTGTAAAAACAAAAGAGAATTTGTAGTTAATTAAAAAAAAATGTTTAGTGGATTTATAAGAGAAAAAAGGAGCGGGAGGTTTGGGGGATAAGCCAGGTTCGGAGGGTGAAGCGCCTCTTTCTCCCTCCGCTAGATATTTTTATTTATATAAAAATAATAATAATAATCTAAAGAAAGGGAGTGGGGAAAGTGTGAGGGAGAAAGTGAGGGAAAAGTTTAATTTCAAAAGAGAGAGAGAGATAGACCCCCTCCCTTCTCTTCCTCCCTCACCATCCTTTCTTTTCTTATATATATAAACCGCAATTTTCTCTCTTCCTCACATAGTCTCTCCTCTCTTATACAAAACAATCTTCACCAATCTCCCGAAAATTCTCCAATCGCCTCGAGAATTTTCCAGAATCGGAGATGAGTGATCTTCCGTTTTCCGTAGTATCCATCGTGGAAGATGTTCTTCAACAGCATAGCACCCGATCAAACGACGCCGGGTTCTTGGTTCCCCGGAGAGTCGAGGAATCTTGTTAGTTTCTCACCCTTCCTTTTTCGTTCAATTTCGGTTATTTCAATCTGGAGATTATTAATAATGATTTTGAGCTTAATAAAGAGATTAATTGTGCTATGTTATCATCGGAATTTAAAGTCTCTCTATGTTGTTGTTGCTGATTCTTAATATTTTAGATGAATCTCTTTGCTGTGTAGCTATGAGAAGATACGAAGCTGCCGGGTGGCTTAGAGAAATGATCGGAGTTTCTGGCGGTAGAGACTTCCCCGCGGAGCCTTCTGAAGAGGATTTTAGGCTTGGATTACGAAGCGGGATCGTGCTTTGCAATGTTGTTAACAAAGTTAATCCTGGATCTGTCTCTAAGGTTAAACTTTGCTCTTCTTCTTAAAGATGTTGATCTTTAGTTTATTAGGTTTGTATTTTTTAGTGGTTACAATGTAAAACTAAATAGATACATAGCTAAGATTGTTACATTGCATTGATTTGTGTGGAGGATTAAAAGCATTTTTTGTCCTACAGGTTGTTGAAGCGCCTGATGATGTTGCAGATGGAGCTGCACTCTGTGCTTTCCAGTACTTTGAAAATATCAGGAATTTTCTTGATGCTATTGGGAAAATGGGTTTGCCTTCATTTGAAGCTTCTGACATGGAGAAGGTAGGAAAAAAGTGAAGACTTGAAAGAAGATACAGACGTTTAGCTTTTCCATCATTTTTTGTTTGTAACATTTATGTTTCAGGGAGGAAAGTCTATAAGGATAGTGGACTGCATCCTTACACTTAAATCTTACAACGAGTGGAAACTGAAAGGTGGAACTGGGACGTTTAGGTATGGATCCAACATGAAGAATAATTTTGGATCCAAAACACCATTTCTGAGGAAAAGCTCAGAGCCGTTTATGAGCTCCATGTCAAGAACTCATCCATCGACTGATCAACCTGCGTGTTCTGATGTTGGGCAAGAAGTGAGTGTTAGGTGGAAATGTTTGTTTCTGTGGCGTAGTTTGTGGTGGTTGTTGACAATAGTATCTCTGTGCAGGGTGATTCTAGATCTATCAACGCGCTAGTTCGCTCGTTTATTGCAGACAGAAAGCATGAAGATATTCCAAGTGTAAGAATTCTGTCTATAGTTAATTGCAGTGGTCTTTGTTGAATGAAAGCTTTCTTCTTGGCATTGATTTGTTTAAGCTTCTTTGGAGACTAAAAAATCTGATGTCTATCTTTTGCAAACGTAGGCTGCCAACTGTTAGCAAGACTAGTAGACGCTATTTTACAAATTCTTATTGGAAAATCTGATTTCTTTTATACTTCAATCTGCTCAGGTTGTAGAGTCTGTATTGCACAAAGTTATGGAAGAAGTCCAGCAGCGGTTGTCAATTCACAATGAAATGGTGAGGGCAAGTGGGTTAGTCATGATGTTATTTTCTTTGGAGTGAAAAATTTCTGTTAGTCCTGGATAGTTATCTTGCTTGATGATGTTATGAAACCTTTTTTTTTTAATTTACTTTTTTTTTTCAGATGAAATCAAGTTCAAAGCTTATTCCAGAAGATGATTCATCCAGCGAGACAGTGCTACAGTCGCAGCAGTGTGACATAAGACAACATGAGGAAGCAGAAGAAAATAGTCCGTCACAGGTCGTAGAAGAAAAGATCGAAAGAGTAAATTCTGAACACTACGAAGAACATGAAATTCTTCTAAATCAACAAAAGCACATCCAGGTAACTTCCACTGTGTTGCAACTTTATGGCTTTGGGGGATTTAACAGCATATTGGAAAATGCTGCTTGTATCTTCTATTCTCAGTATAGCAATTACAAGTTAGAAGGAGCTTGAGTTTTGTTTAAATGCCTGCAGGAATTGAAGCAAACTTTATACACTACGAAAACGGGAATGAAACTACTGCAGAAGAAGTATCAAGAAGACTTTCTTCACCTAGGTGTCAACTCAGATCATGTTTTTGCTATGTCCCTGTTCAAGCCTCAAGTTTATTTAGTGAATACATAACGTGTTATCGTTTTGGGTTGTCACACAGGCACGCATTTGAATGGTTTAGCTTACGCGGCTACGGGATACAAAAGAGTTCTTGAAGAAAACCGCAAATTGTACAACCTAGTGCAGGACCTAAAAGGTAACTTCACAGAAAAATTGATCTGTGTCAGTCAGTCTTGGAGGATACTGAATCAGTTCCTTTTAGTCCTTTTATCTGCGTAAAGACCTCACTCTTGGTAATTATTAGGAAACATACGGGTGTACTGTCGGGTTAGGCCATTCATGCCCGGGCAACAAACTAGTTTGAGTACCGTGGAAAACATAGAAGAAGGGACTATCACGATCAGAGTGCCATCAAAGTATGGGAAAGAAGGACACAAACCATTCATGTTCAACAAAGTCTTTGGTCCTTCTGCAACACAAGGTTATAGAAGGCTTTGATTTTATGATCGTATAATGTTTATTTGATTACGTTTCTCTGTGAATAACATTAGTGAATGAATCCATTGTTCTTCAGAGGAAGTGTTTTCAGACATGCAGCCTTTGGTACGGTCGGTTCTTGATGGCTACAATGTCTGCATCTTTGCTTACGGCCAAACCGGGTCAGGGAAAACCTTTACCATGGTAACAGCTGCTACTATACTTGTCGTGCGATCCTTCGTAGATGCATAGATTATTGTTGATTCAATATACAATGGAGCTTTTGGAATCTTTCTACAACACCAAACTCCTAATTTTTTGAACTATTCTAGTCAGGGCCCAAGGAACTGACTGAAGAAAGCCTAGGTGTGAACTACAGGGCACTAGCAGACCTGTTTCTCTTATCGGAACAAAGAAAAGACACGACCAGCTACGAAATCTCGGTTCAGATGCTTGAAATTTACAACGAGCAAGTCAGAGATCTACTTTCCACAGATGGCCATACTAAAAGATATCCTTAATAGCAGCGTTACTGTCTCTTCATCTTTCAAGAACTATGAGATACTTTAATTTTGTTTTATCCTTAACTCTTGATTACGTTGGAAATCAGAAACAACACTCAGAATGGAATTAACGTTCCGGAAGCAAATCTAGTGCCTGTCTCATCGACGGATGACGTTATACAGCTGATGGATGTCGGACAAATGAACCGTGCAGTGAGCTCTACAGCCATGAATGACAGAAGTAGTCGATCTCACAGGTTTGGTTTTCCTTCTATTGTTTCTTGAGTACTCCGTTGCATAACTCGTTCTAACCCCCCCAATATCTTCATATACTTGGCAGCTGTGTCACTGTTCATGTTCAAGGCAGAGACCTCACATCTGGGGCTATCCTCCATGGTTCTATGCATCTTGTTGATCTTGCAGGAAGCGAGAGAGTGGACAAGTCCGAGGTGACTGGAGACAGGCTGAAGGAGGCTCAACACATCAACAAATCCCTTTCGGCTCTTGGAGATGTTATCTCTTCGCTTTCCCAGAAGACTTCTCATGTGCCTTACAGAAATAGTAAACTCACCCAGCTGCTGCAGGACTCCCTCGGTAAAATTCTCAAAGCCCTCATAACTTGTAGCATTTGTGTATACTCGCACTCGAATCTTATACAAAACATATGCGTATTTTCATTCCAACTTCTGTTTGTATGTTATCAGGAGGATCAGCCAAAACGCTGATGTTTGTTCACGTTAGTCCAGAAGCTGAAACTGTTGGAGAAACTATTAGCACTCTCAAGTTTGCTGAACGAGTGGGGAGTGTTGAGCTAGGCGCTGCTCGTGTGAACAAAGATAACTCAGAAGTCAAGGAGCTTAAGGAACAGGTTCTTAAACCATACTTTGATTCTCCTGCATACTTATTTTCTGTATTCTAATCCTACCACTAATCTGATCGTGTTCTGTGGGGATTTCAGATTGCTAATCTTAAAATGGCTCTAGCGAGGCAAGGAAATGGTAATGGTAATGGTAATGGTAATGGTAATGGTAATGGTAATGGTAATGGTAATGGTAACGAAGCCCAACCAACCCCTCCACCACAAAACCGTGAGAGAATCTCGAGAAGAAGATCACTTGAAACTCCAATCTTTCGACCCAAAAATCCTACCATGGGAAACGCACCAAGCAACCTTAAGCCCCAGGTTATGGATCTAAGTGGACCAGAGGTATGTATGCTTCCAAGAGTAACCAAAGTAGCTCAAGAATTAAAGTAACTGGAATTTACAAATTCATGTATATTATATGCAGGCTTTTAGTGATACTGCATCTTCAAGAAGACACAGCTTAGATCTCCATGAGCTAATGAAATCTTCTATTCCATCTTGGCCGAGGCAAACTCTCGACACAAAAGAAGAGGATAGAGAGTTTAAGTCAGGGGAGTGGATCGATAAGCACGCAGAGTTGTTGAATCAAGATGAGAATTTAATTTCTCCCGATAAACTCTACCAGTCAATGACTCCACTGCAACAATCACTGTATGCTACTCACATTTCATTTAACCAAACTTTAGATGTGTCTCTCTGCACCTTGTTTTGTTGATCTCTTAACATCTTTTTTCAAATGACAGAAACGGTGGGAAACAAGATTTTGAAGTGCAGAGTATTACAGATAACGAATCTGATGGAGTAGCAAGCGATTGCTCAGATTCTGATTTGATGTGGAGACTGAACGTTCAAGTGAATGTGCCCAGAGTTTCTAGTAAACAAAGTTCAGCAAACCCCAAACCAAAGAAAATTAAGCCAAAAACTACCAAAGTCTCAGAAACCAGGTTAATACATCCATAAATTGTTATTAAACTGTTTGTAATATTTTCTTTATTGTTGTTGATTTGATCAGGAATCTTTTGTCCTTTTCTTGTGGCAGAAGTTTTATTCCATCGCTGATCCCAGCACCAAGCAAGAGACCTCCTAACACCGTGAGTTCGCAGCCACAGCGACCAACCAGAGATGGAAGGCGCAGACTGAGTTTAGGCAAGTGAACATGTTTTCACCATTTTTTTGTAAAGAGTTCAATCAGTGAGACAACAAAAAAGGATTTGTTTTTGTATATTGTGCGCAAGTTCTCTCTGTTTGTTCAAAAGACAAAATCTCAAATTTGCTGCTTTGAGTGTACAAAGAATCGTACCTTAATATACAATCTTCTTTTGGATCTCAAACTTACGTGTATGCATTTATAATTGGGAAAATTTGGAGAAATGCATTCAAATAAAAATGAAATTTGAAAATTACACTTTTATTTAATTTTTTGAAAAATACACTTATATATATATATAATATAAATTTATCTAATTACCTATTCTTAATCTTTCTTAATTTCTAATATATTGTTTAAAATTCGATTGAAACAATAAATAACAAATCGTTTATAGAATCAATATCATTAAAACATGATAATTCCCTTTAATGAGATTTTTATGTTTTCCAAAAATATCCTTAATATTATGAACAAATTTATTTTTCATTAATGGCAATTTGGTCTTTTTATTCTGCGTCTAAAAACTATATATTAATGTGTTAATGGACCAAATTCACCTTCTAATTATTAGCCCTTTGGTCCTGCCCCATTCGACTTGCCACGGAACGAATAAATTGATATTTGAAAAAACTAAGTTGCGGGTACGGGTACATGTCAAATATATTTTACGCGGGACGGATACAAATTGTTCTAATTTCAATTGTGGCTATCCGGTAATCTGCAAAAATAGAATTTTTTAATTTTTTTTTTCAAAAATATAATAAATTTTGTTAAAATAATTTTATTTTTACAAATTAAAAATTTAGTTAAAAATATACTATTTAATATTATTTTTTAGAAAAAATAAAAACTAATTATTTTTCTTATTAATAATTATCCGGAGGTCCCGCGGATTATCCGCAAAAGTAAGTGGGGTGGATACAGATAAAATTTATTTTATTTGCGGGTCAGGCATGGAGAGTTTGACCCGCTTCCCAGCACCAAGAGTAGTTCATTGATATTATTTTCTAAAATAAAACTACACAATTACATATAATATATTTACATAGATATTGATGATAAAAATAAATTAAAATCTACAACAACTTTAGAAAGTTATACAAGAACATTTTATATCATCAAAGCAAAAAAAATTTATCGGTTCATCTGTAGATAAGACAACAAAAATGGTAACCGCGCCGTTTAAACGCGGGTCAAAATCTAGTAGATCAATTATCCCTTTTAACATATCTATTGAATATCTTTCCATATCTTTTAATAATATTTTATTATTTTGAAAAAATAAAGAATCTAAGACGACGTCTTCTTGTCTCCTTCATTCTCGCTATCTTCTCCGTTTCTGAAAAAATATTCTTTCCACTGATTCTTTATTTCATCTCTTTAAGAGAGGTTTGTTGATTCATGAAACAAATTTCAGTTTCAAATTCTGTTTTTTTTTGTATTCTGACAATAGCTCTGATATTTTTAATAGGAAAATCATGTTTCATTAGCCTGGAGTTTTAGGAGAGTGGAAGATGAATAATTAATCATGGAAATTCATGGTGAGTACAAGAGCATGAGATAAAGTATTTACTATTAAGGAAAACTTGAAGCTTGACGAGATAGTTCAGATGGTTCATGAAGATTCCGGCATCAATAGGTTGGGTAATGAGTTAGAACTTAGCTATGCACTACCGGAATCAATGCTTCAAGATATGCCTAAGGATACGCCTCCTGTTTTTGTGAACAATGATAGTCAATAGAATTCTATGTGTGAAATGTGTAAATCCATGCCTCTGCGTCTTTGCATCTCGGTGAAGAATGAAATACTACAAAACCATGATAAAGATACTGCAATAGTCAATCGTGAAGATATTGCAAGAGTCAAAAATAAGAATAAGAATATCAATAGGCAAGATGGTAATCAAGAACCAGAAGTGGATGTTTCAAATTTTTATGATGCAAAGGTCATCGAAAAGGGTCAATGGTTCAAGAATAAAGCAGAACTGTCTTGGAGTATACAGCTGCTTTCAATTACAAGAAAATTCAGAATTGTTGTCAGCAAGTCAGACAAGAGGTTGTTAGTTGTCAAATGTGGAGACACAAGCTGCAAGTGGATGGTTAAAACTACCAAGACTAATCCGACAAGTGAGTTTTTCTGGGTAACAAACTACATCGATAAACATACATGCTTTTCCAGAAACATTGGTGGACCGAGAGCTTCTTCCAAAGTTATAAGTAACTTCTGGAAAACTTTGGGAATTCAGGTCTAAATATGAAACCATAGTTGATTTCGAGTACTATGAAAAAGAGATATGGTCTTGGTTCAAAATATTGGAAGATATGGAAAGTTAGGGAAGATGCTCGGACAGAGGTATTAGGTTCTCTAGAAAGTAGCTATGAGCAGCTTCCAATATACATGCATAAGCTTGTTAAGGCTAACCTGGGTACTGGGTTGCAAGTTCAAACAACCTGCTGCATATGCTCTACACATCTGGAAAACAAGGGATCATTTGATGCTCTCTTGTCCTTATGCTATGCTATTATTGCCAGAAGCTCGACGCAATTTCCGAGACACTCCTCCGATCTCCAATGATTGGTCGGAGGTTATGCACTCGACGTTATCCTCCTCTGCAAATACACCCTCATACTTTCGTATTCTGGTGATCCAAGCGCTAAACAACATGTTGCACAAGTAGAAGTTGGTTCCCCGTCAGGTGGTTTTCAAAGAAGTCAATAGGCATGTCATCAATATAAATCTACGCTTCAAGGAAGCGCAAGAAATTTGGCTGTCTCATGCAATTGTGGCTCAGATAAGATCTAGAGCCACGTTGATGTTCTCTGTGTCATCCCTTGAACTTGTTTGAGGTGTGGACTTTTTTAGGACAACCTTATATTTCTTAATGGAAAATTAACATTCTTAGCAAAAAATAAAATAAAAATAAAAAATCAACATATTTCAACTCAAATTTCTCAGTCATGAGTTATGAAAAACTAAGAAATAAGCACATACTCTCATGAGTTCAATAAGAAAAAAAAACACATATACTATTAAAAAGAAAAGCAAACTGAAAACGTAAGTAAAAACATCTTAAAACGTGAAAGACAGTGAAACACAGAAAAAACACTTCTTAAAATTTTAAAACCTAACAAAGATTTCTAAAAATCATGAAAATGATTTTCTTCATCGAACATATCAATTGCAAGATATTTTCGGATAAATTCGATGTTAGCATCACACGGTCCAGCCTCCATATATACGTCTAATGCAAAATATTCGATATATCTAATAGAATAGACACCACAATCACCAGATTGTATGTTTTGTGGAATATTCTTACACCTTATAATTTTGTACTCAGCATCACGTAAAGATGTTTGGTCAGCTGGGGAAGCCAATGATCTGGTAAGATGTGGAATCATCATTGCATATGGCTCACAAACTCTGTTCTCTCATCATCTCCAGAGAGCATCAAGCTACTGTCGTACACTTCAATGGTACATTGATATAGCCCAAGCGATCCAGTGCACGTTCTTAATGTTCAACACTACATACGCATCATCGACATCAACACCAAATATCTTATGTGTTCTTTCACATTTAGGTAGAATACCATTGTATTAGTTGATAAAATCAGAGCTCCACCCAAAATTCTTTGGATCTTCCAAAAACTTTTGATAGCTCTTCGAGATCAGGAACGTAAATGGTATATCAAGAAACGCCAATCTTTTACTGTGAAAAGGAAATGACTTTTCTCCTAACTTTCTTTTCAAAAGAGACATACCAACATCACTGCATCAAACAAATATAATTTAGTATATGTATACTGAATGTTTTCGATTATAAAATCATTTATAATATACTTACTTCTTCACTTAACCAAACCCTTGGTGCAATAAGCTCAGCAAAAATTGTTTGGTCAGCCTTTATGATGCCCAAATTATTTGGTATATCTCTGCAATTCACAATGTAGATGATAAGATAGATATTACTAACAAATCACTAAATACTTGTTTGAAAAATACTAACCTCTATATCTTCATCCACGAATCAAACCATGCATTTTTACCATGATCCACTAGAGCAAACATATCATAAGGTTTCATAACTTGCTTACGTCTCCCCATTCCTTCACTAGTATCCAGTAGCATACCATACGTCTTTATTTTATTATCTATTATCTTCATTTCCTTTGTCTTTAATGGTGTTATGCTCAATATTTCGACCAAGGAATTTGTAGACTTTTTTGTATTCAAAGTGGTCTTTGACTCTTTTTTCATTGTCTGCAAAAAATATCACAATCAACAAAACTTCACAATAATAATCTTTCAAAGATAATAACTTTGCTTACTTTTCTAAAATTTTCCAAGTTTTTGTCAAGATGATTTAGTTTGGCCTTTAGGCTAGAAATTTCAGAACTAAGCTGTGTGAATCTACTATTCAGAATCTTTTCCAACTCTTTCATATACACATGAAAATATTTTTTTGGATAAGGCTTCAATGCAAGGAACACCATTTGTTTTCTGTGACTTTAAACTGTTGGTATGTGTTTGCTCTTCATTTGCCTTTCTTTTCCGTTATTTTCTTTTTGAATCTTGTATTCCATCTCTACATAAAAAACATAAATAAAAAGTTGTAAGATATATGAATCAAATCATTGGACATATAAACAAATTTATATGGCAATAGATATAGTAAACATATTCATGACATTAAACTATATATAAGTATTCACGTAAAGTAGATCAATACACGTAAAGTAAATCAATACACGTAACATGCATGTAACACAAACAAAATATACATATACGTGAACACATAATATTAGAACGTACTTGGTTCAGGGTAGATAACAACTTCAAGAAAGATGAAAATTTTGTAGAGACAGAGTAACAAACATGATTTATTTTTCTTTTAACAACGTGACTTGTTTATTTTTTATATAAGCTAGAAGAAAGTAATAAAATAAGATCTGTATAAATTTCATGATATAGTCTTCAAAACAAATCATAATTCACATATTTATCTTTGTTATTGTAAATTTAAATGTTAAAATAACATGTTTATCTCAACACATATATTATGGGATAAACATAAAAAACTTTAATGATATTAGTTTATTAATTGGGATAATTATTGAATTTTTCGAATTTATATATTAATCTCAAACTTATATATTAATTATTTAAATATCTAATTAGAGTAAAAAGGTCAATTCACAACTAAAGAAGTGTAGTTTACAAAAAGTAAAATAGAAAATGCAATTATCAAAAAAATCAAACTTTTTTGGAGTAATTTAGTAATTATCCCTTTATAATTTGATTTGTTTTAAAGAGATTATTGGCGGAATATACCTTAGTGAATACAAAATTAGGGAACTACCCATAATCAAAAAGAACTCATGAACTTTGTAGAAATTTATGTATGAGTTGCCACAATATTCGTAAAACAAAGATATGTACGTTTGAAAGGTGAGGAGAGATAGATTTGTTTTGATCTTCTATAGTACATCCGTAGCCTTCTACAGAGATGTAGGTTTACAGCTGTCTTTCTTTTTCCATTCATTCGTTTAAGGTACATAAGAGCATGTTTATTGGAGTAACCCCTAAGTGGGTTCTTAGTGAATAATTAAGTATTAAAACTAAGCTAAGAACTTTTGTTAAGAAACACCTAATTTTAGTGCTCCAATGCTAGTTTCTTAATTAAGAGTTCTTAAAATAAAATTATTAAAAAAAAATTTATTAAAGATAAATTTTATTAAGTATATCAAGGAATCCAAAGAGATAGAACAATGTGTAAAACCAGAAGCTCAAACCTGCGTGAACATACTTCAGACCACAGAGAAGCTGGTACAAGAAAAACTGATAATGCTCAGGAGTCAAATCATCATTAGCCTTAATCACCTGATGAAGATCAGATTCTATCAACTCAAACACAACGTAAATATCCAAGAACTCTCTGCGCGTAAGAGGTAGCATGATGTGCTTAATTTCCACAACATCTGGATGACGAAGCAACCACAGCAAGTTGATCTCTCTGAGAATCATATTTGCGTCAGAGACGTGGTTAAAAACATCGTTTATCTTTTTGATAGCAACTCTTTGACCAGTGTGTGTGTCTAGAGCAGAAGCCACAACACCATAGTTTCCTTTCCCAACGACTTCTTGAACCTTGTACATGTTTGATGCACGCCCTAAAGAACTCACATTACATGCTTTAGGAGTAAAGGAAAAAACACATAACATACAAACTCATATTACATGCTTGAACTCAGTCTCCTGCATGTCCTAAAGAACTTAAACTGAAAATTAAAGGCCAACTTAATGGATAAAAAAAAATAGGATGAAACATGCAAACTCACATGACATGATTTAGTGGAGTAAAGGAAAGAACACAAAATATTAGGAGAACAACACAAATGTCACTCACATCTTAATTAAGTGTTTAATAAGACCAAACAATTAATCATCATCAACAAAGAAAAATAGAAAGAACAATTAATGACCAATCAAATAGAACACAAAAAAAAAAAATCACATTGCAGTCCATTGATGCAGCAAAGGCAATAACACAGAACACTAAGAGAACAACACAACATAACATGTCACTCACATCTCATTTAACAAGGAGCAGACAGAAAATAAAAGTTTCCTAATTTGATGAAAACATCTCTACATTCCAAACCAAACAAAAGTAGAAAGAAGGAGCAGAAGAAATGAACCTTCTTTTGAAGATCCATGGGTAAATGATTACGTTTTAGAACTTTAATAAGCCTTAGCCCAGCGAAATCGAGATCTTCAGTAACGATGAGCTCATTCGAATCTCCAGATTGATCGGCGGGATTAGATAAAGTATCAGACTTTAAAAGAATGATTTCGTCATGATTATTATTATGATTATTATTAGAAGAAAAAAATTGATGAAAAAGTCATAAACGAATCAACACCACCGACGAATCAAAGCCACCGCGAGGCACCAATAGAAAGATCAAGGAGAGCACCGATTTCTTCATTGACTTCAACGTTTCTTCTCCTTTCAATATCATAAAACCAATACTCTAACTACATGTGTTTAACAAGAGCCACTTCTTATACGCTTTATTTAGGAACCATTCCTTAGGTAACTAGCTATTTTTATTTTTCTTTACTAATAATTATCTTAAGAAACACATTTAAGACACCCATGATAAACATGCTCTAAAGAAATCTGCAGAAAATCTGCAAAAATTCTAAAAAAATATGCATGTGCCAACTAACATATGGAATCTATGTTTTAGATCAATTTGCAAGGAAAACAATCTCTAACAATCCAGTTAACATATAGTTTTGCTGTTGACATGTATATATCAAAGTTTCCCTCTATCCAATTGCGACTAATAAATTGTAAATGTAAAGTTTATCATATTAATATTTATCTAAACCAATTTTCAAATGCTGATAACTTCTGTTTTAGCACCTAAAATAAAAACATATGTAACCCCAATAAAACAGATCACAAAATTTACTAGTTTCATTAACCAAAATTATTTGGTATGCCCGTTAACTATTGTATTATACCCTTACTATAATACTTAAACTACAACAACATTATTATCATTACAATTTTATCATATCATACTAGTGGTTACTTTTTTTCCAAATTATAAGTTGCCTGATTTGTGTGTTAACCAATTCTCATATATTTTAATTTGTTTATAGATGTAATAGTTAATGCTAATTGTTAGTCATCAAAAATACATATAACATCGTATTTCATGTCCACTGGCAAGTTAAAATTCCAGTTCACACAAATTTACGAATGTTACTAACTAAAACCATTTTTAATAACCGCTAACTATCATCTTATAACTTTACCATAATAACTAAGTCATCCCAAAAAATGTTTTTTTAACAAATTCTAAGTTGTCTCAATAAGACTAATGTTGTTATGACAATTTCTCATCCATTCCAATTTGTACATTAATGGAACTTGTCACCCATGCAACATATATATATATATATATATATATATATATATATATATATATATATATATAACACAGTTTTTATTTCATAATGGGGTCATACATTCTTCGAGATCCAAACTACATGTTACACACTATTGTCGATTTAGGAATCTCATGGGAAACAAAGCATATTAAACAATGAAACTTGCCGCCCCACATCTGACTTATACCAAAACACTTCATCACAATGACCCCTAAATAACTGCTACTCTTTCATATTGGCATTTTGTTGGTGGCGCGATTGTGATCCGTTCCACCAGCATCTTCTTTCTAGCTCATCGTCCCGGGACACCTAAATTCATAGAAAAGTAAGACAATCTAGAAATATTAATAACTTCTAACATTACAATTATCATCTAACATGTAAAGTAACCGTAATAGGTAGAAATAACACAATAACTTCTAATAACACAATGACCATCTACCATATGATCTTAACTACTAATAAGTACTTTAGTTGGCACCTAATTACGTACACGATAATATTCAATATGATTTAGCCGTTACTTATTATTTTAACTACCTAATAATCCGTATACACTATACTTTTCAATTTAAAGACCTCTATCTTTTTACTTTGAGGCTACTATAGATGGTTAGTCAAGAAGAATAATACTGGCCGCTAATGATCTACATAGAAATTATGGTTTTAGAAATATTGCTAACCTTGGATTTTTCGTCTAGTTCTTTAACATGTGTTGGGTTGACATAGTATCTCACTCTTTAGGGAGGAGATGATGGGGTGTCCTGATCTTCTTTCTCTGCTTCTTCGGTTTGAGATATAATATTTCAAAACGTTTTGTTTTGCAAGAATTCCACTTCTTCCGGATCTAGAGCATTAGTGATGGATTCAGTTTCTTCACCGAAAGCAAAGACGTGTTCTCAAAGATGCAACAACTCCAAATCATCGACTGAAATATCATGAACTTCGTTGACTGAAACATTGTCCGTCGCATGAATTCAATATCTTCTGGATATAGAGCGTCTATTAAGGACTCAATCCTCTTTGGTTTGTGGTATGTGTTTATTCTCTCTCCAGCGGGTTCTTCACCTACTGCAAACATGCATTCCGACAGTCTCATTTGCTCCATGATGTCGGCTGAAAAAATAGAATCTGGTTTCTCTGAAGAAATTAGAGTTTTTAGAGAGATTATAATGCAAACATTGGGAACAGTATTAGTTCAAAGAGTTCAACATCGATAAAACTGTAAAAAGTGGCTTTTCAATTGCCTTTTTCTGTCAATGATATTTTTCTATTTTTATTATTCTGAAAAGGTCTGGAAACCTTAGGATACATATCGTGTAATGGAGAGATTAGTAATATTGTCTGACACAAACATCAGTGTAGGAGATAGTGTGAGAGTGCTAAGGTGTGGGAGTAAAATGGTATAAAAGTAAAATGGTCTAGTAGGGTGGCATTTGCTTAATTTCAGAGATTTCCGTGTATATACGTCCTAATTTCTCTATTTTAATCAACCAAATGTAGTAAAATGGGAGACTGATTTAACATAGAAGTCTCTTGTACTTATCCATTTTATCAATTGAAATAAATCATAATTAATTTAGTTTGGTTCTTTTAAGAGAATTCATGTTTTAAAACATAAACGCTTGGTCATGAAAAATCATGTTGGTGATAATAAAAGAAAAATTATGTGAAAAAAAATCCAAACTAAAACTGAAACAAAACTTTTTAAAAAATTACAACAAGTCTAAAGAATACATCAAACGAAAATTAACTAAAGTAAATAGAAAATTAAAAACCAACATCGTTAATAATGTTTCTTAAAAAGAAACTATGTAACTAAATGTAATATAAAAATGAAAAACCTTTAAAATCACAAAAAACATTATAAGAACACGATTAAACCAAATTTAAATAAAATAAATAGAAAATAAAAAAAAATCAACATCGTTAATAAAGTTAGTAGTGATTTTAATCTTGGGATTTAGTATATTGTATATTGGTAGTATGTTTAATTCAAATAATAATAAAAACACAATGGTTTCTCGGTTCGGTTCAGTCTAAAACCTAACAAACCTATCCGTCGGGTAGGGAAAATCTTAAACTATTTGCTAATACACTTTGGTTTTGTTTGGAACGATTTTCGGTTCGGTTTTCTGCCAATCCCTAATAAAAAGGTTGTTGTACCTATATAACTATTTATTATTTATTTTATCTTACTGTGAATTATTGTTACAATACAATATTTTAAAAGAATCATATTATTAATTCTCATTTCATGTGATAAATTTTCTCTAAAAATATTTTATCATCAAACATTATAGTTATTCCAAAATTATTGTTATACACCATATGTTATGCTTAATAATGAACCTACATATAAATTATTAAAATGAGTTAGAATCGATCATACAATATACTATATCATGTTATCTTACATTATACTAGGTGTTTATTCCGTACTTGTGCGCGAGAATCAATATTTAAAAAAATATTCAAATTAGAATAATGGTTTTATATTCACTTTCGTTAAATATAACTTGTATGTAACTTTAAAATTTGTATTTATGATAAATAAAGAAAATCATATTAATTATCATTATGTTCTCAAGCAAAGATAGAAATATTTTTACTTATTTAAAAGTTCTAAGTCATTTTAATTTATATTTATGAAAATATCATATTAATATCATTGTGTTCCCATCTTAGTTTAATGTGATTTCATGTATAGTGATTTGGATCGGCTCATGTAGGATATGTTGAGCTCCATCTATATTTCTCAAAATTAAAATTAGTTTTCTTTTAATTAAGTTAAAATTTAATTATTATTTTTAATTTATTTAGTTTAGTTCATTCTCTTAATTTTAAATATATATGTACACATATATATACACAAATTTTATAATTTGATAAATGTTTTTTAGAAAATAAATATAAAAAAATTTCCTTAAGAAATACTTTGTGATTTTAATTTGTTATATATATGTTATTTTGGATAAAATTATTAAAGTTAAAGTGTTAAGGTATTGAAAGTTGCAAAGCAAATCTAATCAGACATATTTCAAACTTCTTTGATTAATTATGATTTCTTATGTTAATTATATTCAAAACTTCAAAAGATTGTATTTATCTACACATTCTCATCTTAATTACATATATTTATTAATATATAATTGGTTATAAATTAAAAGCAAATTTCATTAATTTGATAATTATCATTATCTTAAGATCTTTAATATTATGTTATCCAAAAATATTTTACATCATACTATTTTAAAATAAATTTAAATCCATGTATTAATTTTTCAAATTTATATATGTAATAAAACATATTATATTAAAATAAATAGTTTTATCTTGTATAAATATTTAATATTTAATTAATTATTAAATATTTCAAAACCATGAATAATTTATTCCAATGATTATTGAATTGATAATATATTTGTTTACAATAATTTGTAAATTAGTAAGCTTACAAGTGCGGACGAATTACCTAGTTAAATGTATAAATGACTATATTTCAACCAGTAGAAGAATAAATTTCAAATATAAAGAGTTAGAAAAAATATAAAGATAATAAATTTTGCATCAAAACTTAAAAACATCATCTAATTTGAAATTAAAAAAAAATCTCTAAAACTGTTATTTATTAAAAATGGGATTAATAGTCTTCAGATTAAATAGTTATACAAACTTTATATCTTACCAATTTCAGTATTTTAACAATCTTGAAACAAAGGCTACATTTTTGAATATCTAAAAGCACTATCTAAACCTAAATAAAAATCAGTAACACTAACTAAACAACTGACCTGAAGGAATAATAGGGAGAGATTTGAGATTAACAACAAGGATTATTATAAGTCATAGAAGGTTTGTTCATATTTGTAACTGTTCTGGAGTTTGGTTGCTTGTAGTGGATGGTGAAGTATTGATGGCTTCAGAGGGTGGTGGAGCCATCCCCCATTTGCCTTCAGCCTCGGTCGGCTCTATCACCTTAACTGACCCGTCATTTAAACCGACCGCAAACTGGTTTGGCTCTTGCGGGTGAGCTGCCACAACTAGAGGGGACAAACCTTGGTTCCTGTCAAAGCAAAAGAGAGTTAATATAGAGAACCAATATTGTCATGTTTCAGAAGTCCTTTCAAGTCTAATAAATTTTAAAAGCTAATGAAATGTTGGATAAAGCACTTACCCTTGAGGCAAGTAGGCGGATGGAGAGATACGGCATCTTAATCTAAGCGTGTCTGCGTCGAACACTACAATGTTACCATCACAGAAAGTGGTGTAGATCAATCAACTGGCTGTTACATGCATACACTGCTGAAGATATAGGAGCAGACAACGAGTCTTGAAGAATCCACTGAGACATGGAAACAATTAAACATAAGTCACTACAAAAATCAGAGCAAATAATTAATCTTGTATTTTCATTTTTGGCGTTTATATATATATATATATATATATATATATATATATATATATATATATATATATATATATATATATATATATATATATATATATGGATTTAGAGAGATGATCTCATACATACCTGTCGGATACATTCCATCTTGGAAGCATCAAATATCGCTACTTGTGTCTCGTGGACTGCCAGGATACGGATCTGATCCACATGAAACTGAACACGTGTGTCTCCATTGTCAATGCTCCAAAAGCATATCTAAGACAAGACATAGTTAGCATCCTCCTAGGATAATCGAACGGGTTATAGATATTTTTACTAAAGGACAGAAACAAGACGTAGCATAACACACCTGTGCATCAGCACCGGATGAAACCAAGATTTTGAGGGTTGTAGAAAATGCTAATCCGGTGATGCGTTTCAGGTGACCCTTTAGCTTTGATTTGACCTGATGAAACACAAATGCAAGAGTAGTGAGCTTATTCATATGGTCTTAAGACAACATCTAGCAGGGGAAGAATTCAAATGTGAAGCTATAATCCCAATGAACTACTCAAGTGGTAATGGCTGGCACTATCGAACACTTACCTCATCCACTCGGACATTGTAAGATGTGAATTTTGGAGTCCTCCATTCCAATGGCAATGATGTTGTTGTCCTGAGGATGGAACGCCAAAAATGTTGATGCAGGTGGAGGTGGCATAAATGTTGTCATCCCCTATAAGGCCAACATGTTTCTTTAAATATTAAAACCACCAAATGAGTTTTCTAGTATTAGTGTGCGAACATTTTCAGCTAGAGCTTGTTGCTTTGGTAGTGTTTTTAATTCCATGTATACACGAACATATATATACCTTGAAAGTCATCATGTTGAACAACGAGACTTTTCCTCCAGCAGCCGAAATGACATATGAGTCGTTCTTAGAAAGAGCAATGCATGAGTTGGCCTCTTCAAGGTTTACACCAGAGACATCGTTGGTCATGAGAAGACCACTGTTTGGTTGCCAATGCTGAGGAGCAGCAGCAGCAGTTGCCTGCATGACAAACAGTACTTAAATAAACCCGCACACAACATGCGTTGAACTCTCTCTAACCCTATTTTAAGATTACCTTTCCACTAGGGTTTTGCTCATTGCGAATCCACTTCCAGAGCCTCTGAATACCGTTAAAACCTAGTGCCAATATTCCAGTGCCAGAATTCGTATACAGAAGCCGAACGACCTGATAAGCCATGCAAAATGAGAAACATTAACCTTAGTTTTTTATAAAATAAATTTCTGATAAAGGTAACTGAGCAAACCTTTGTGGAAGGACCAGTGGTATCGGGACCAATTGACACCTCTACTAGGTTCCAAGATTTCAGCTAATTGCCAAGGTTTTGGTTTGTCTGTTGAGTCACCGATTCTTGGCTCTGGGGGATCAACTCCATTCTTTAAGGGTTTGCCACAACAACAAAAACATTTGAAATGATTCTTAAAGACAAGAAAACAGACAACTATAGCGCTATGATTTTCAACAAATAGAATTCAATTTCATTTTCTTACGAAAATCCAGAGCAGTAAATAGTGATTAATAAAAATGGCTAGAGAAAATAACATTTAATGTATGATATACCAGCATTGGAGAGGGTCTAACAGGAGAGCCTCGTTCAACTTTACAGCTGACGGATGCAACAGGAGCACCAGGAACCTAACAGAATATCAAAATGTGTAAAGAGGTAGCTAGCTACAATGGTGCATGTAAACAAAGAAAATATATACCACAAAGTTGGGAAACATTACAGCCTTAATTAAAGGAGAATCAGCTGGAGTCCTCATCTTTTCAAAAGCTGAAGTTTCCACGGCTCTCAGAAATCGAAAACCAGCTTGGTTTGCTAGGATCTTAAATCCGTTGTCTGCTGTAGTTACGGATAGAATATTTCCTTCCCGGTTAAATCTCAAATGAGGAAGAGCCTGAAGTTGAAAAAGGTTAGCATCCAAATCTGAAAAGACAAACACCTAAGTAAAGGGAAGAGTCTGTGGGACTAACCGGAAGTCCACCCTTAGCATCAGTGCTAGTCAGAACATTGATGTTGTCCATATCCCAGAACTTGATTTGCCCATCTTCACCAACAGCCAGAAAGTGGTTCTTTGAGGTATCGAACTGAAAATTACCCGCCAACTTTTTCTGAAACCCAAGATAGGTCCTTTTAATTGATCCTTCACTTTCGTTCCACTCAACTAGGAAAAAATCTCCATCTTTACTCGTTGCACAAGAGAACAATCTGAAGAAGTAAGTACACCACAATTACATAACATAAGAAAGAACTAAAGCAGAGAAATGCAAAGGTATTTTTGAAACAAATAGATTGTTACTGAAGCAGCAAATAAATGCAGGGCATTTGGGAGAGAAAAACTGTATTCAGGGGAAAAAGAGACTAGAAACTCAAGGAGACAACTCAGTATCTTCAAGCATAAATAAATCTCAATGACGAATTTTAACATTTTAGAAACTAGGTAAGAAGAATTAAGGATGACTTGATAAGCTGTAAGCGGGATCGTACCTGGTCCCATCAGCGCTATAAAGCATTGTGGTACACCATTTACCGGGAGCATCATAGTCAACTCTGGAACCCATATTATCATAAAGCCAGGACTTTATTTTCCCATCTATGGCCATTGAAAATATGAACTGAAATCCAAATAAGAACGTGATATATTTTGGAAAAGAGCAAAAATCCATTGGCAGAATCTACTGTAGAATATATGTCATCTACTGCTAGGGTGCAACTGGAAGGAACTTTTAGGGAATAAAATCTTCTTACATTCCTCAAAATATTCACTAGTTAAAATTAAAAAAAATGGAATGGGTATTCAATTTCATTTCATAGGTAATTCCAAAAAAAAACAATTTTTTTTTTTGAAAAATCTTCCACGTTAAAAAATATTCATCTAAGTAAATAACTAAAATTCGTTAATTAGTATTCCTTTTATTAGTGTTCTTCAAACAGATGGGAAAATAGTATCATAGATGATATAATACCACACCTGAATGTTCTCTTTGTGATGAGGGCAAATGGAATACACATGAGCATCGTGACCTTCAAAGGTAAAATGCTTCCGACCTGAAACGTCCCATACCTGTTCCACATCAATCAAGTTAGACAGCTTCTAACATGGAAACCCTCTGATTCATTTCCTCACCTTAATTAACTTATCATCTCCGCAAGTAACTACACACAACTGTCTGTTTGGATTAGCAAAAGCCAAGTCGTTCACAGCACCCACATGAGCATTAACCTGTGAGAAAAAAACGTGATCTAAGTTAATGAGATATTATAACATCGCTTTGCTTATCATACGGATCAAACATATGCTCACCTCAGCATGCTGGCGAAGATCGTTTGGTCCAGAGAAAGCATACAAGTGAATAAGATGTTTCTTATATGCAACCCCTGCATTAAAAAGAGACTGAGACCAGAGACCAATTAAAATCTCACAATGCATGAAACGGAACTTACCAATGAAATTTCCATCTGGACTCCATGCAACGCGGGTGACAGACATTGGTGTTTCTTTAGCTTATCAAAGCCTGAATAAGTCCCAAAAATGACAAGCATAAGATTCTTTCACAACAAATAGTTTGCTGATCCGTTTTGTATCCATCACTTCTCAGATCTCACAGCCATATAGTTGAAATCAAGACTTTTAGAACAAACACATAAGCTACAAAATTAATAGTAACGACAAACCTGAAACTGTGTGCAATAAGCCATATCCCATATTTTGAATGGCCTTGTAACCAGCTTCTCTCGACTAGCTAGTTCCCATAATGTGATTTCTCCGGTGGCAGATCCGTCTAGTGGAACCCAAATGGTCATCAGAAAGCCAAAAAACAAATAACAGGAAGGGTTAAGAAGTTTTAGACCACCATACCAAGAAGTAACGTATTTTGCATAGGGTGAAACTCCATGCTTGTCATAGTGGACCTTTGATGCTACGCTAGAGCCGCCTTTAATGGCAAGTCTTCCAGCGAAAATGGAGCATGCTGCCTAGGTGCAGGATATGTCACCTGAAAAATGAATAATGGTTACAACTTTTGAAAAAATGCAAGAATCATACAAACAACTTTCCAGAAAAGGAAAAAAAAATTGTGTTTCCTCCTTTACAGATGGGGCGGGGCGAAGACGCTTCATTAGTTCATGATCTGGATTCTGATAGTCTACTACACCTGGGTTTGCTGGTGGTGTTCTAGGTCGCTTCAAGATTGTCACGTTTTGGAAGAAAAGTTAGTCTAAGAAGGAAATAGATAGCTGCTGGAAAGTCCAGAAGAAATAAATGTCGAAGATCTTTCACAAACTAAAAGAGGAATGGACGCAGGAGTGAAAACGGCAGTTTGGACAGTAGAAGCACTAGAGGCAGCAGCCATCCAGCTAGCTAAAGCGCCAGCATTAGCAGCAGCAACAGCCGCACCAGGAGGAAAGGGCTGCATTTAACACAGAGTTCCTCAAATACTAAGATTTCTAAGACTCAGAAACATGAATAAAGCAGTCAAACATTAAGGTTTCTTACACCATGAGCTCCAAGCGACGTAAAAGCTGTTGGCTTTGTCAAAGTTGTAACTGGTTGACTGACTGGTGAAGGTGCCATAGGACCATTGGGAACTGCGCATGTGTGGTCTGTGAATAGAGTTGGTAACGCGTCCGCCTAGTCAGCAAATCGGATTTAAACGAAATGATTTTTCAAGAACAATTTTTTAAAAAGTTGGTTTAGAAGCTCATAAACCGGTCTAATCATCTGCCTAATAAATAATCTCATATAAATTGTCTAACGACCACTTAGCAGCTATTAACTCAGATTAAAGATTCAAACACAACTTACAAAACAAATATATCAGTTTTATATACTTATAAAATTTTCAGCAACAGAGTAATATAAATCAGAGCAACATACTATATAATAAACGAATATACGAACCTATGCACAGACTCTTTGAATTTCTCTTCCTCGAGAAACTGAAGTATGAGAAACACCAGCTCTCGGCTTAGCGACGACATGATTTGAAGCGCTCGGAATCTCAAATCTGGCGTCAGAGAAAGACGATAACACACGATTACGTACGAATCCGAGCTCGGTGAGAGAGCTCTGACGAATACGAACGGAATCGAGAAATTTCTAGGGTTTTGAAAGAGCTGAAAATGGAGAGAATTAAATAAAAAGGAGGAAGAGGGGGGGGGGAGAAAGAGAAACTTGACCTCGGTTTCTTGTATTCTGCAGAGAAAGGTCTTCCATTATCTTACCGACTTATCAGATATAGCGGATCTAGCTTCGGTGATATGTAGTTTATTTTATATGAGAGGTGGAGTGAGTTATCGTGAAATGGATTGATAGGCGGGGTTTGAGACTGAGTGGCGGATTCGAAAACAAAATTTAAATGGAGTTGAATATTCGGCGCACATGTCCATTCTGGTCCCCACGTTTCTCTTTCTTGTGATGTCATTCTCAGCTTTCGATGTGCTCTTTGTTTTTTTGGCTTTTTCTTTTTCTTTTTACTTACCTTTTTAAACTCCTAAAACGTGTCAGGTACTTACACAGAATACAATAAAATTATTTTATGACATCCTTGATGGGCCTTGAGAGTTTTGGGTAACTTTAATGGTTAGGCCTTAAGAAGCCTTGCTTCCATATGCTGGGTTAGATAATAACAAATTATACTGCATGGGTCTGCATTAAGTGGAAAGCAAAAAGATGGTAGTTAATTGGCTTGAGGTCTTATGGGTTTTGAACTACTATAAAGAGTTTACCCACAACGGAGGAGCCGCCCCCGTTGAAAATATTAACCAGTCCTTTTTTTAAAATGTTTTTGCTGTCCTTGAAAATATTAACCAGTCTCATCGTAGAATTACGTTAAAGGTACACGGATTTTGATTGATACCCATAAAATTGGTTATGGCTGTAGCTCTAAAATTTTAGCTGTAGAAAAAATGTTGTAGTTTTTTTGCTGTAATTTTAGATTTTATTGCTGTAGATTATATGGAAAGCTCAAAACATTGCTTTGAATATTTGGCTCTAGAAAGCATTTGTACAGCTGTAGATTATTTAAAGAGCTGTGGTTTTTACAAAATCATTAAAGCTTGATTACTGTAAATTTGATGCTTTAAAAATACATGGTGCTCTGTAGAGCACCTACAACCATTACCAATCACACTCTAAACTCAAGTTTTTGAATCTTATATAAAATATATAAGAGAATAATCATAAGCAACAGGTTCTTTATTCAAGGACCAAGGTTAACGTTGTTGGTGTATTAAATTTGGTAGGTTATTTTAATTTGCTTGGCTTATCCAGATAAAATATGATCCGTATCTTCTTCGCTAGATTCTCGAGGGTTAAAAGGTATGCTAACATCTTGGCTCTCGAACAGAAACTACTAGTTTGCTTCTTTTTTTCTGGATTAAATATAAGAGGTGTCAAGACAAAGCCCGAGTAATTATGTTCATACAGACCGTTCTACTATCGCAAACCCGATTACTCTACGTGGAAGTTAGAGATCTATGCCGCCTCACCCAGGGTTGGTCCATCTCAGCAGAGGGTCCTATTCCAATTTGAAAAGAGAATTCGACCAAAAAAAGCACGAACTTTGCACGAATTGCCAAAAAAACCCTATATTCGAGCCTTGCCAAAAAAAACTTATACTTTTGTTGACTTTTTTTGGTTTATTAAGCAACTTAATATTGACTGGCCATATTAGCACAACGTTAAATGCAACGTTAAATGTTGCCGTTAAGTGAAAGGACGTCGTTTTCAAATGAGATGAAACGACGTCGTTTTACATGAATTTGAAAATAAAAACACGTATACTCGCGGTTTCGAACCCGGGTTGATTGGGTCAAATGCCGTTAAGTGAAACGACGTCGTTTTCAAATGAGATGAAACGACGTCGTTTTACATGAATTTGAAAATAAAAACAAGTATACTCGCGGTTTCGAACCCGGGTTGATTGGGTCAAATGGCAAGGCATTTTACCATTGAACTACGGGCACTTTCAATTTATTTCGTAACACATTTAATTTTATTTGATACTGATTACATATAAAAATTGTCTAAAAACTTAAAAAGATCTTTAAAATTCCAAAAAGTTGAAGAAATAAAGATTTTTATATAAAATTAATTTTGAAATTAATATAAAAAATAAAAAAAATTCTTTAAAAAAATCAAAAGTCTTCCTATATATTCATTTTTAAAAACAATTGCTAAAAACTGAAATTAATTATAAAAACAAATATACCCACATATTAAATTAAATTATAATGCTTAAAATAAATATTGTACTCAGTATGAGAGTGATTTTAATTTTATCTAATAATTTCAACTTAATTTTGCATTTTCTTTGAATTTTTAAATTTTTTAGAATTTTGAAAAAAAATTGAAAATTTTGGAAGACTTTTGCTTTTTTAAAGAAAAAATAAAATTTTATTTTTTATTTTAATTTAACATTAATTTTATAAAAAAATATTTATTTCTTCAACTTTTTGAAATTTTAAAGATTTCTTTAAGTTTTTAGACAATTTTTATATGTAATCAGTACCAAATAAAATTAATATGTTACTAATTACATTAAAGTGCCTGTAGTCTAGTGGTAGAATGCTTTGTCATTTGACCCAATCAACCTGGGTTCGAATCCGCAGGACTACATGTTTTTATTTTCAAATTCATGTAAAACGACGTCGTTTCATTTCATTTGAAAACGACGTCGTTCCACTTAACGACTCGTCAATTTTTTCTGTTAAATTTGTTGACGGGATGTTAAATTGGCAAGTCAACGAAAACTTTGTTATTTAATTCTAAAGTCAATGAAATTTTTGTGTTTTTTTTGGCTAGCCTTAAAGTTCATGTTTCTTTTAGCAATTCGTGCAAATTTCGTGCTTTTTTTGGTCGAAACCTAAAAATGTCATATAATTTTTTGGACGCTAAACATTGGTTTACTTGGCATGTGTCCTGGGCCGGGTCTGGCTTCACCACCCATGGAACTAGCAATTTTGCACTAAAGAGGAATCGTTTGTATACCTTATCCTCCATTCCTATTCTTCTTCGTCATCTCTCTCACATGCAACACGTTCATAATGCTACAACATTTATGTAAGAATTTACGTTGTAAATAGTGTTGCCTTTGTGACATTCATATTGAAAGTTAAAAAGCACTTTTTGTCGCAGATTCATACATCTCATTGTGTTCTGATCAGCGTTAGGACTTTCATGACTTTAGAGAACTACAAAGCAAGTCTAAATTTTACCAATTAGACTTTTCACAATATTTGCTATTCTAAAGTAGAAACAGTCATTTGTATCTATCTTCTCTTTCATGTTGTATTATCAATTAAACGTGACTTTTACAAGCTATTAATTATACTTATCACACAATAACTATATAACTTTTATACAAAATATTTTAATCATCATAAATATTTTTTTGTGAATAAATTTTATATTTTTATTCTTGTTATTTTAATTATTTTTGATGTCTTATATATATATATATATATATATATATATATATATATATATAT